GTCAATGGTCGGAGACGAGAAGCGTTGCTAAATTATGGTTATTTAAATAAACAGCACACGATTTGATTTGGCTGAGCAAAAGTGTTGCCGTGGCCGCGAAATGCGAGCGCCTCTCAAATTGGACAAGGGATCAAGCAACTGTGGACGAGCCGGAGATGTCTGGAAATTATGTTGTAGCTGCACTGATCGTGCCCTCGCTCGCTCGCTCGCTCGCTCACTCGCTCACTCGCACTGGCAATAGATTCGTCTTGGGGGTTGTGCCATCAGGCCATGATTGAGTAACGCCCATGACTGGCACTGGGCCATCTAATTATGAGTCCAGCTGGTGAACATTGATTGCAGCAGCAGCCGTAGGAACAGCAGCAGAAGAGGCAGGGACTCGACTCTGTGCATCATTAGCTGATGAGCAGCGTAGCCTCCTGATGGCCTCTCTGATAAGCAAACATATAAAATGCAATGTGCGTTTGCCATACGGCATGACCTTTGCTCCCCGCCAACTTTCGGGCCCCCAGATCGGGCGTTGCGGCGTTTTGTTTATTTTGAAGCTATAATTTAAGCGAGTAATTGCACGCTGGCGGCCAGAATTTGTAACTAAACTGCAAATTAGCAGCCAATTCTCCAGCCGATTAATAACCATAATTATTGGCTCAAACGCTGACGAGCGAACGTCGCAGCAAGAAAGAAGACGAAGCTGCCGCTGCAACGGATGCCCCGGTGAGGATCTTGATGAGGAGGTACTCGGCTCAGCCTCGTCGACTCTCTGCAAATTGCGCCAACTCTCCGACTGAGCTGCTCAATTGCCAATTCGTGATGCAGATACGGAGGGAGAGACGAGACGCGTATGAAGAACGATCAGAAGGCACGGCCCAGCACTGCAGCAATTTAAATTGTGAGCGCGTCTGGCTTAATTACATAAAACTTGGATATATCCAATGCTCCAGCAACGATTCTGGATATAGCCGACGGCGCACTCGTCCGATTCCAAGTCTGCTTGATAGGCATGTGTCTAATGAAGGGTCCTAATTAATGTGCGTTGTCTTCGTTTCTTTTGGGGCAGTCGAAAAAGTGAAACTGCCAAACGTGTTGAAATGCAATGAGTGCAAAGGATTTGCCCTGGCAGACAACGATACCAGCTCTGTTTAAGCCCATGACAAATTAATAAACGTCGATGCCCCATTATATTGTCTCCCTTAATGCATGCAATAAATTGCATCTTCATGTTGGCTGAACAAATATAGATATCGCATTGCCTGAGCAATCCAATTATATTATTAATAACACGGAAGTCAGAGAAAAGAAGAAAAATCTCTGAAGAGACTAATAATAAAAGCTATTGGAGCGAATTCACATAGACTTATCTTCGAGCATCTTCCAGTGGAGTATATATCATCCTAGAAGCTAATAATTTTGTCTTAAGCTGCATTAGATTAAAATTACTATCCATAAAAAAAGAAAAAAATGTTTATTTATCTGTTGGCTAGCAGCAATTCGCATTCGGAATATTCTTCCTTCCTTAAAAATTCAAAACAGTGGTCTTAACCGCCAAACTATGATTTCGATAACTTATCGATTTTAACAGGAGATTAACATTGCGTCAGCAGCTCACTTTTGCTGTAGTATGGCGGATTATTTGCTTTGCCTATATTATTTTTAGCATTGCCCCCAAAAAAAATAGAATTCTCATACCATTTAAATTTTATTTTATATTAAAAACATTGATGTATATAAATAAAATTCAATTAGATAACAGCTGCCAGTATAATATGTTTGTGTTATGTTTGCCGTTGTAAAACAGCTACAATAAAAATGTTAAGCGTTGCCAGAACTACACACGCCTTTGTTTAAAAGTTATTACAGTACAACAGAAATTAAAGGTTTACAGTTATATGAAAAAGGCACAAGTGTTTTGTTTAGTTTTGAGAATTAAAATTGAATGTTAGAAGTGGACAACTACAAACAAAGAACTAAACGGCAATAGGCACTTTGACTTTACACGTTTTGGTGTAGATTTTGTGTGCTGGAAAAGCTGAGCTGGGCAATTGAATGCAGCCGCTTATTCCACTAGACACTCTTCTTCATGGTCATCTCGTGGGCGGTGCGCAGGCGTCTTCGCAGTTCGTTGGGGAACCGTTCATAACATTTCTTGCACACTGGCTTCTCATCGTACTCGTAGAATTTCGACTTTTGCGTCATTTTCGTATCGCACACGGAGCAGGCAAAGTGATGAACGCACCATGCCTTGTTCAATGCGGTAAAAACTGAAATGTAAATAAAATAAAATGCATTCAAATTAAATATATAAAACAATAAGCTCTAGCTAACCATCTCCAGCAATGACTTGATTGCAAACAAAGCACAAATTGCCAAAGAGCTGATGGTAGTGCGTCTCGCAGTATGCCAGGCCGCGCTTCTCGTAGTGGCGATGTCCCAGGAAAGGTTTCTCGCACTTGGCACAAACGAAATGCTCGACGTGCCAGTGTTTGCCCAGCGCTGTGACCACACGCTCCTCAATGGGGCGACGACAGGCGCCACAAATGGGAATGCCCATCTTGTCGTGACAGCGAAGACAATACAGCTCGTTCTAAATAAAATATTAAACAATTGTTAAATGTATAATAGTCACAGGCAGAGTTAAATTTATATCCACCATATCGTTCGCGACCAGGCCAGGCCGACTCTTGACCTCACGCGCTGTGGCATCCAATTCTGTGCCGCAGGCCGAGCAGTTGAAGTGATAGCCATGATACACTTCGCCACGGAATCTCAATGGTTCCTCGTCAATCAGGCCGCTGTAAAGATCTGGATTAGTTTATCATTTCGAGTATTTGAGACCACGCCCACTTACTGACACTTCTGGCACACATAGCGACCCGTTATCTCTGCCTTCACCTTGGCATTGCACTCATGGCAAAGTGCACGATTTTGGTTGCGAATGAAGCCACTATCGGCCAGCTCTTTGGCGCACAGCTGGCAGCGGAAGCACTGCGGATGCCAACTGGCGGACATGGCCTTAATGACACGTCCAATTACGAACTCGCCACACTTGTTGCAACAAGGTGCGAACAACACATGGAAGTCCCGTTCACAGTACTTGCGTCCCTCGAACTCGTAAAAAATGCCATCCTGAAACGGACGGAAGCACTGAGCGCAACTGTAAAAGGAAATTTAGAAAAGAATAATACAATAATCAAGCGTATATATATCGAGTGTGCACTTACACAAAACATTGCGTATGCCAGAGCTCGCCATTGGAATTTACAATCTTCTCGGTGGGCTCGAAGCCGTCAGCACATCTCGTGCAATGCATTGCACCCAGCGACATATTGATGGCCTGAACTCTGCAAGGGAAGAAGAATGAAGCATATAAGATTAGTATAGATCATATTATAAAATACACATGATTAGAAAACAGTTACACTTCAGCTTTGGAGTACATCATGATGAAGGCTTTAGCTCACGACTGTGTGGGGTAGCGCATGGAAATGACAACTGGAAAATGGAGACGTTTGGGGCAACGACAAATTTGCGTGGCTGGCTTATCAAGCAAACGAGCCAGCATTGTTGACGCGGATGAATCATATTTCTGACGAATATAAAAAAGCTTTGCATTCCTTGTGGATTGATTTGGGCAATGTAGTCATAAGTAGCTTCGGCTTCGGTGCACGTCGAGTGTCGACAGTTGAAAAGCAATCGTTAAACAAGGCAGATGTGCGGAGGGTCAGTTAGAGTAGAAGTTAGATTTGCAATCGACAGATTTGCAACATTTGAATTGAGCGCCACTGCGAGGGACGCCAAATCACATACACACACTCACACAGCTACACATGCACACATACGCCAATAGGTAAACAACACAACTGTGCGGCAGCGGCGGCTATAAATAAATTTGAATGTTGCCATGACGTCATCGATGGAGTAAACATCTGGCGCTTTAACACCAAGAAAACTGCAACTTATTCGGGTAGCAAATACCCAGCACATGTCACACAGATACCAAAAAGTCATAATGATCTGCATAACTGTATTTGGAGTGAGTTTTAAGTGATGATTGTGCTTTTTCTAATCAATTAAATTTTGCAGCACCTTGACCAAAACTTAATGAAAGAAGCAAGGCGAATATTTGGGTCACTTTAAGCGTTATGATGATGACGATGATGTAATATCGTTAATATTCAATTCGGAATGTTCTTCTTGTTTCGCTTACTGAACGGGCGGCATTTCTGGTAATTGGCTTTCACTTGTTGCACTTGTTGCAGCTCGCCTCAGTCAATTTCTACGTACACGGCCGACGTTTTTAGCTTCACTGAAAACGGCAAACAAAATATAAAAGTATCTCTTCGAAAGATCAGTGTTGGTTGTTCAGCTATTTTCTGGCCAAGTCCGGTTTCTTAACTATATATGAATTTCTCTCAATTTAGCTAAAGTGGCCAACACAGTTCATATTTGTGTTTGTGGCCACCAACAAGAACAACAACAACAGAGGTCTTGCCAAATTGGGCGTACATCTGAAACTCTTATCTTATTATTTATGCAATTGATTTGTGAGCACTTTGGATCCGGTGATTAACTCTATTTACCTATAAGAACACTTTGACACAAATTATTTAAAGCAATATTAGCTTTTTCATTAAAATTCTCACTCAATTAAAGTTGTTCGTTCGGTATATGTTCAATCGAACGACTCATTGAGCGAGCAAAGGTAATTCAACTAGTTCGCAATGAGTGAACACTTTCTGTTATTCAACAAACTGTTAACTTAACATTTTGCTACTGATCTCTTAACAGAGCTTCCTACTTTCTAAAATAAAACAGCTTATTTAATTAAATGTGCAATAATTTAAAACTAACCACAATAACTATGAATTTATGTATTCGTGTTGCTTTAGCTTATTTTTATGATATGATGTACTGGGGAAGTTAAACAAGGTACAACGCTAATAAATAATTCAATTTCAAATTAAGATTATTGGAAATTAAGATATATTATAGCTCGACGAACATACTATAGATTTCAGTTTTGTTTACATTTAATTGCGCTCTGCATAGCAGATAAATAACACTTTTCAGTACATAATGTTTTTGTTTAATGTATTTTAATGTATTACGCATTTGTTGGTGTAGTATCGCATTTGTAACTGCATCCGAATTTAATCTAATATCCAAACTAGCATTTGTGGATCCTTATATGATTTTGAAGAGTACTCTTTTGGCGGAACTGTTTAGGACAGTAGGAACAGTTGTACGGTTTCTCTCCGGTATGGATCTTCATGTGATTGTTGAGCGTGGCCACTTGCCGGAAACTTGCATCACAGATCTTGCATTTGTATGGTTTCTCGCCCGTGTGCGTTTTAATGTGGTTGACCAGAGTACTCTGTTGGGAAAAGAAGCGCCGACATACGCTACAGCCAAATGGGCGATCGGGATTATCGCTTCTTAACATATTAATGGTGCCCACGTTTAAGCGAGGGGTCTGTTCGGTCTGGCTAGGTTCAGTTTTTGGATTTACTGGCGCTGTCCCCGTATTGCTCGCTGTAGCAGCGGAAGCCGCAGCTGCCGCTGCATTGCTCGCAACTAAAGAGCTTACTGTTGAGCTGCCTTCAAGGAAATGCAGCAGTGGATGATGGTCCAGCTGCAGAAAATTGGGCGTTGTGCTGTGCAGGTTGTTTTGCAGCAAGCCATTTGTCAGCTGTTGTGCACCGTGTCCAAGATGCGCTGGCATTGCTGTATGCTCCACTCTGGCTGGCTGACTGATGAGATTCGTGTGCGTCCTTATGTGGTTGATGAGTGTGCCCTGCTGCCTGAACTGCATGTGGCAGTAGGTGCACGTGTACGGCTTGTCGCCGGTATGTATCTTTTTGTAATTGGCCAGCTTAGTTAGCTGGCTTAAACACGCCAGATATAAATATATTTCAATATATTTATTTAACACCCAAGTTTCTCAAGTCGAAGTTAGCAGAGCAGAAGCTATAATCGAATAACATATCGATAAGCAACAACTGAACTAGGCTGTGAATATTGTGGATCTTAATTTGGAGAAAGTACTTCGATAGTCAGTATATCAGTATATATATCAAATGTATAATAATATATATTTAAAAACTGTTTTAATAATGTAAAATATTCTTTAAAACCAAAAATATTTACTTTTGATTCAATTTAATTGTTGCTTTGCTAAATAATTGAGTTGGCCACCAACAAACCAGTATAATCGACCTAGTAGTTGCTAAGTTTGAGTTAAGTTGGCAGTCCAGTATATGAGGAAATTTATTTGAGAAACCAATAACAAACTTTGTGTTTGAATTGACGCGCCAATCATTAAATTTAAAAAAAAAATTAGTTAAAACAAAATTTTGTTTACGACTACGTTGCATACATATTTAATTACTTTATTGTTAGTAATAATAAATCAATAAATTATTTCAGTATCAAATATAGTTGATAACAGGCAATTTTGATTAGTCTTACAATTCAGTATTCGCAATTTTCTATTCTGAATACTAATAAAATTGATGTCAGATCTGTGAATTACACTTCCGCCTAACAAAGTGTGAGGTTTGCAATTTCTGCTTTTCAGTTTCCGCATTGCAATTATTATTGCACATTATACATATACATACATACATATAAACAAGCTTAACAAAATAAAATGTATGTACGTATGTATGTAAATATGTATTTGTAATAAAAACTTGTAGTTTTGTAAAGCTTATCATTTTATAACAGTACCTTTATCCTACTATCAACCCATTAACAACCAGACGCGATTCGATCAACGACTTTTGTTTGTCACTACATAATGAAAGCAAACAAAGCGCCGTCGAGGTCATCTGAAAAAAATAAAATAAAAATACAAAACAAGAAAAAAGAAGACGAAATCGTAAACAACACCGAAAGGTGGCGCCTTACAATGCTGCCTGTGTTCTACCAGACAAATGGCACGTAGCAACAGTTGGGACGCTATAATTAAATTACATGCTTATGCTCATGTTTGCTAGACTATTCGGGGAACACAATGTAATAGAGCTAGAGCTTAATATGACTAAGCTTTGACAATCGATCCGCTGTAACAGAGCCCACAGATTGTCTCAAATTGTCGGCTGCAAGCGGAAACAGTGGGTGTCTAAATATAACTTCAATTATGCTATTTATTATTGCAGCTGGCGCAAAAACCGGCAAACCAGACAAACAACAACAACTCGCCCCCTGTTTGCGAGTTTGTGCATATGCATTAACATACCGACACATGCATAGCACTTTTATGTGTGTGTGTGTATGTTTGTGTATGTGTGTCTATATACTGCAACCCGTAAAACCAGTTTCTGCAAAACTGTTATGCAGCAATTGACCAGTTGCTTGTAAACTGCGACGCAGCCATTAATCTTTTTCTTAAAGTTTTCACATAAAAATTCCAAAAATGTGCATTGACGAATACCTTAGCAAAGCGTAATCACACAAATGTTTTACTTTTTTCTGCTTATCGGTGTCGTATATATTTTTTTGTTTTTATACATATATATGTGTGCATGTACATACATACATACATATGTACATTTTTACGAACTTTTATTTTGCTGCGTTTGGACTTTTTCAGCTTTCTTATCATGGAATGCCGAAAATAGTGTACTTTACTTTAAAGTTAATTTATTTCAAGGCACGTGAATCGCATCATATTATTTCTGAACACATATGTATAACTGTATATTCATATAATACATATTGTCACAGTTCACAGCTTGGGATCTAACTGCAGTTAGCCTTAATTTTTGAAAGCATTTATCTAATCTTCACAATCATCAAAGATTATATGAATGATTAGCGGCCAAAGTCTGGTTGAATAAATATAAATTGAAATTGGGTTGTGTGGGTGTAAAAGTGAGAGTTGACTCCCCGCGAACAAATATGCAACCAGCTTGCCAAACCGCCGGACGGCGCAGCCCGACGCTGAAACTAATGAAAACAACTTTGACGTTGGCGGCGGCAACGTTCGACCTACGCGTGCAACCTTAGTGGGGGTAACAGGGGCTCCAAAATGGAGCACAGTGGTTGCCTGGCCAAACCAATTATTATGCACACACATACACACACACACACACACACACACACACACACACACACACACACA